GGTATTGTTCGCGACACCTGTAGTTATGTTTCATCAGTGAGAATCGGAGAAACCAGTATTAGGAAATTTGGATGGGATGAAGAGAAGGTGATCGGTGAGAAGAGGCGAAGGCGGGTCGGGGCCGTACACGAGATCCGGATTGAAGCGACTAACCGTAAGCGTCCCGATTCCACATTGTTATCTAATTAAAATGTTTTGAGAAAAAAACAAAGGATGGCAGTGTTAGTTCAACCGGATGCCGAAAGAAAGGGAAGAGTCGGGTACATACGGTAGTGTTCTCAGGCGGAAGACGGAAGTTGTTGGTATGTTCTCCGAGACCATAGATATTGGCTTGAGCGGGTAAGGACGTTTTGACTCGTAGATACTGGGGTTCAAACACGAGCGGGTAACCCGTCGTGTTGAACAGGGTTTCATTGCCACCAGAGCGCGAAGACCGTACGACGGCAAAGCTGAATGGGTTGCGAGTGTACTGGAATTTGATGTTGGGAGAGGAACGGTATCCACCCCAGGCGTCCGGTCGGGGGAACACGCTTTCTGGAACTTGGTATCGTTGACCAGCAGGGTCGCTAATTTTCAAGTGAATTCGATTATCTAATGAACCAAATTCAGTGTCAAAAACCTTGTATCTCGAGTATAGAGCCGATACTCACCCGTTTCGTATACGACGCTCAACGACAACTTTTTCAAGTCGGGTCCGTATACGTTACACGCGGGACCAGCGAGGACGAGATCGGCTTTAAAGCCATTTTGGATGTTGGAAATGTTGGTGGCATTGTACCCGGGACAACTGTCGACGTTCTGGGCCCACGCGCCGGGTAAGAACGAGAAGCCAGTTTGGGCTACGAACAGGGAGTGGGCCAACAACATGGGCAACAATGTGCCCATCCTCGACGAGGGGACTTTCATGATGAACACTCTCTCAAACCGCTATCTACTAACACCTAATGAGATGGAGTAAGATGATGCACGTCTCCTCGACAAAAGAGGATAGTGACTAAAAGGACGATGATGATGGGGAAAGAAGGCGTTAGAGAGGGAAGTGCGTTCATGATCTCTGATTTTATAGGTTCTCGAGAGTCGTTCGTGATGGATCGGGCATGAGCACTCTAGTCAAACGAGGGGCTTCGTCACTTTCGAAGAGGGGGTGGCCAAACCAAATCAAGCATGATTGAATCACTCGGACTGAGGTCACCCATCACATTTCTTGCCCTCTGCATGTTCCGAATCACAAAGCTTAATCCATTCACTTTTGTAAAGCCGGCAAAATTGTTTCGCACCATTCACTCGTTTAACCCATCTTCTGCCGTAGGTTCGAAGCCCCAAGTGTCGAAGTCCCCACTGGCAGCGTGATTCTCCACTCATGCCACTAGGCTTCTCATTCATTTCACTCCATGAACAACTCTCTCACATCATCGGGTAAGGTTGGGTCGGGAAGAAAAACGGGTCTTTCCGGAACGGTCCAATACATACATACAGGGGGGGATAGCGAAGAAGATTAGGAGATGAAAGAACACACGGCACGAAACACACAAAAAAGCCCTCGGCGAGAAGCACAGTCGAAAAAAGTGGCCAACCGTTCATCGCCCAAGTCAGTGGGTAAAAGGGAGAAGAGGGACGAGTGACAGAGAAATGCCCAGAGGACAGATCCCGAACTACAATGCTCTCCTCGCTCATCGCTTGATCGAGGTGGCCTTGAAGGGACCGTTCTGGCACAAGAACCCGAGTCCATCCTGCTCACCCGGTGCAAGGGTCGCAGGATCGCAAATGACGGTCGTGTCCTTGTACTGCTTGCCAATGGGCTTGGTCTGGATGTTGTGGGCGTGCAAGTTGGTAGCCGTGCCATTGTACAGGTCAAAGATGATGGCTTGTGTGCCATTGGCGCCCGCGACGTAATTCCAGCATGGGTTCGAGATGCAAGTACCGTCGGCTAATCAAAAAAAAGAGTCACGTTGTTCGTATTAGTAAGAGTTGATCACACATTTGAAAGTCAGGTACCGACGCCGGCGTGGCTGACCGGCCGCGGGTGGTGGGGGTGGAAGAGGATCGATGACGTAGAGAGCAGGTTACTCACTCGGGTTGGGACCAATCGTTCCCCAAAAGTTTTCAAAGAGCATGTTGTTCACGTGTGTGCTAGTATTGGCAGTGTTGTTTGGTCGTCCGAAATCTTGGTCATAGTAGCTGGAAAAGGAAAGTCAGCAACGGCGGTGTCGAGAAGAAATTAAGCGTGCATACTTTTGAGTGACAAAGATGGGGGTAGAGACATTGTTAACGTGAATGTTCCTCCAGGTAATATTTTCGGCCAATCCGTTTCCTCCCGTCCACGATTTGAACTAGAACGGGCATCAGTCATCTAAATCCGCCTAATGAACCTAGAGTACTCACCCTAGCACCGTAAACAGCCTCATCCATAGTCCAGTCTTGGAACAAAACGTTCGAGACCTGGTGATTAGAGCCGTTCCTGCCCAACGAACCAATGGACAATCCGTGACTCGAGAAGCCACAGAAACCATTCTTGGCCACGACACCCTTGGCACCGTTCACGATAGACACACAGTCGTCACCGTTATGGCCATAGTAGCCGTCCAAGCTGATATTCTTGCCACCCATGTTGAAGCCATCAGTGTTGAAGGGGAAAGAGGGAGTCAAGTCGCGGGTGCCGTTTGTAGGAGCGGCATCGACAAAGTGGTCCTTGATGGTGATGTTGGTTCCGGGAATGTTGAAGCCCCAGGCGACAGGCTTGATGACCTTGATCTTGGCGATGGATCCGTTGGTCACGTTAAAGGTCGCCAACTGGGGTCGCTTGGTCTATTATACTATTAGTCACTAGCCATCTCCTTTATAAATTAGACGCACCCTGATGTTGACGTTCCACCATTGCTGTCCGTAGCCGTGGAATGCACCGACATCGTAGCTGTCGCCGCTTCCACCCTTGAGATGGACGTCGGAGCCTTGAATGTAGATCCAAGGAATAGCATACGACTATAAAACCGTTACATCCTTCTCTTTTCAACGTATGAGGTTACTCACGCTAGGTGGGTTCGGGTTTGTGGTCACCTTGCTTTGAATGTCGGTGATATTGTTCGGCAAATGAATGCTACCGTCCAAAGTGATCACAACGCTCGCTAGAATAGAAAATAAACATCAATAAAATTTAAATTTGAATGCATACTCACAGAGATTGCCCCAGTTCATAGGATTCCAGGCGTTATACTTGACACCCTTTTTGAAGACAATCTCCGAATTCCTATTACATTGCTGGAACACTTGCACAATCGCCGCCGAGTCGTCTGCACTATCCGACGCATGCGGTACCTCGCACTTGCGGAGGTTCGTGGGCACCTTGACGGGACCATACCACAATTTCTTTTCCCAGCTCGTATCAGGCTTGACGGCACCGACAAATGGCGTCGTCTGGGTAACGAGCAACACAAAAGCGAGCAAGAGTTCAAACGACTTCATGATGAGAGTCTGTTAGGTTTTAAAGATTGGGCAGAGTCTAAACTCTTTTTAAAGCGTGGAGGACGGTAGAAAGGGCGCTCGTAACGGACAAAGGTCCTTTTGGTACGGAAGAAGTGCAGAGAAGGTGCGAGGGTCGAAAGGACTGAGACGACGAGGGAGGGGAGATCCCAGTTGTACGTGGGGAAACCCAACCCCTCCTACCATTCGCCTTTTATACATTTCTCCACGCTTGGGCACCAAGAACCAGGGGTTGAATTATCTCCATTCGTTTACCCCCTTGGCGTGGCGGCCAACAAACCGTCATCCCCTCACCTCCCTTTACCCCTTTGCCAATTTTTTACCCGCTTAAAGACGAATCCATTGCCTGGGAAGGGGAAAGGGAACGACACGATGGTTCTTTTTGCCCTTAGCGCAACGTCACCGGAGCGCCAGGGAGCGTTAGAGAACATCATGGAGCCATCTCGGGAGGTGTGGGTCTAGTCTAATCGACCTAACACGGGTACTTTGCATATGCTGGAGTAATAGAGGCGGGCCGGTGGAACAAGGAGAAGTCGTGGAATGAAAAGAAGGTTCGTGGTTGTGGTGGTTGGGAGCTTCTGCATGTAGTGAGGGGAAGGGGAGCGGTGGCACGACGGTCCGGCCGGGTCCAAGT